TTTCCCGTGCGGATGAGGGATACGTGCCGGTAGCGGCATGCACGACACCAGGTGGGCGGGGAGGCGGCAGTGCGCACGCACCGGGGCTGAGCCGGTGCTGCCCACCCCCCACAGGGGGCATCGCAGTGCGCCCAGTCGGGGAGGGCTGGAGGAGGCAGGCCCCTCGCGTGAGGTGTCACACAGCCTGCTTGTCACTCACAGTGGAGAAAGTGGTGCAGCTGAAAGCCACCGCCGCCTTCCTGGGACTCTGGGGCGCTGGAGTTGGGCCACGCGGGAAGCACCTCTCGGAGGGCTCTTCCCGCCATGCCTGGTCTGTGCGCACATGCGCGCGTTGTGTGGTCTGTGCACGTGTGGTGAGCGCGTGCAGTCTGCACACACGCATGGATGGTCTGCGTGGCGTGTGTGTGTGGTCTTCGCATGTGTTGCGTGTGGGCTGTGTGTTGTACATGGTCTATGTGTGGTCTCCGCATGTGTGGTGTGTGCCTGCATGCTGTGCGTGGTCTGTGTGTGGTCTGCGTGGTGTGTCCACGTGCATGGTGTGCGTGTGGTTGTGCGTGGTCTGTCCATGTGTACGTGTGGGCAGCGGCCCCCTTCTCTGTCTGTCTCCAGAGCAGGACAGGGTCAGGCGCAATCTGGCTACTTAATAAATGCTGTTCAGCAAAGTATCAAACTGCCACAAAGTCGTCACTTAAAAATAAAACCCAGGAGAAGGCATTCTCTGAAAATATCACATTATGAGATGACCAATTTTAATTCTCATTCATTTTTGAACACGTGCATCTCGTAAAATTTCACCTGGAAACACGCACCTGTGACTACAAGGGAGGACTGGCCCCGCAGCTCAGGACGCGGGAGTGGGGGCACACGCGGTCCAGCAGGCAGGTGCTCCGGGCAGCCCCCCAGTCCGTGTTCTCAGCGGCGGTGATGTGGGGCCCGTCCCCCAGGGCTGCCGTTTCACCGTGCTATCTAGTTCTGGAAGGGTGCGCTGAGGAAGGCCCCCCGAGTCTCTCCAGAAGCACCAGCTTGGTCTGCAGGTTGACGTCGAAGGGAGGCAGCCTGGTCAGGTTGAGACTCACCCCAGTGGTGCCCACGATGCCGGCCAGCACCCGGTGCGTGTCGCGGTAGAGCGCCAGGTGCCCGGGGACCGCCTCCATGAGCAGGTGCGTGTAGGCCAGCATGTCCTCCGACCCGGGCTGCACATCTTCCCGCTTCTCGTACCTGCGAGAGAAGAGTGTGGCTGGATGCCGGCGCGGTGGCCCCCACACCGGCCTGGCACTGGTACCCAGGGGCCCAGCAGCCTCCGGGGCCGCCCCCTGCAGTCACGCCGCCACAGGACCCTACCTCCAGGCCCCGTTGACTTCCAAGAACCGAGACACGCCCGTCTGTGCAGCAGCCACGTCCACGTGCAGAACGACGTCTGCGGGAAGCAAAGGCCTCGGTTAGGGCCTCGGGCGTCGCCTCGGGCGGGAGCAGCGGCCGGCCCCGGGAGGCCAAGCACCTACCTGTCCCGGGGGGCACCAGCTCATGCAGCCTCTGCATGGCCACGCCGCCAGGATAGTTGAAGTGGGACACGTACAGGGCCGTGGCCGAGTAGGCGGCATTCACCACGAGGTGTGCTATCACCAGGAGGGACCCTGCCTTGTACAGCCAAGACTTCCTGTAATTGTTCAGCCTGCAAAAAGAACGGTGCGTTTCGTGGAAGTGTGGCAGCCACCAAGTGCAAAGCACGTCGGGAACGCGGACCTGCCGTTCACTTGCCAAGCACAGCGGGGTTAACCACCGAATGGTCAGGTACCAGACGTGCCAGTTTAAAACTGGCATTAGATTCTGAAGCGTCCTGGGTTAGCACTCAGGTCGGAGCACAGCCCGTGGGCCAAACCCGCACACGGCCGGCTGGAGAGAGAAGCGGCCGGACACAATGGGGCGGAGGCCGTGACCAACCACGAGGCCCGCAGACGAGGACACTGACGGGGCCTTTACAGAGGGGCTGCTGGCCCGTGCCACCCTCAGAGCCTCCCCGCCCGCCGTCCTACCCTACCCCACGGCTGTCTCATAAGTGTCCTGCCCCAGGTGGCCGAACCCTGGACACTCAGCACAGCCATGTGCAGACGAGCCCGAGGCACGCGTCCAGGTTAACGGCAGACAGAATACACCAAGCGGAGCCGTTGGTCAGTGCGCGGCCTGCCCCGACCTGGCCTTAACCTGGCGGCGGTGGCCACGGATGCCCAGGCGGCCGGGTCCACCCTGACCACCC